TGGCGGCTCCTTTGAAGGGCTGGTTTATTAAGTACTTAGCTGCGCGGTGCTTGTAAATACAGCACAGGCATTTTGAGCCGTGCCGTTGAAGGGGGCTCTGTGTTTCTAACTACGCCTCTCCATCAATAGCGCGCAGGGAGGAACTCACAGGCCGTGAATGGAAATCAAGGGTGACAGACACACTGCAGCCACATTCGACTCAAGCCACAAAGGCAAAGGCTTTAGGGCCTTTTTTTTTTTCAAGGAGACAACAGACTTCGCTTTCTTCCCAACCTCTTTTCTCTTTCTGAATGTCTACGACGTAATTCATTAGTATGAGCTTTTCAAACTTTCCTTAAACCTACAGTTTACATTGCACCAGCCAAGAACATCGGAAACAGTAAACTGGGTTCTTAATTCTTGCCTTGAGAATGCTCTTGGCTTTATTAACTCTGACCCCTCCGCCTGCTCATGAGAAGGGAAGACAGGCCACAGTGGTGGTACCCAGCAGCTCGCTCACCTCCCCCCCTTCCCTCTCCTATTTATTTACTTTCATGTATTCGTGGGGACACCTGATTCAGGCTTGATCTCAATCGCATTAAGATTCTGACGTTGTAAAACTCGAAAGGCTCTCAAGTTCTACCACGCTAGATAAGAGTGATTTTTCAATCATGCACTTTTCACGTTTACAGCATGGCTTCTAAGTTGATTCCTAGCGCCCTATTTTGCTTTGTTGTGTAAGCATTAAATGACCATTTATAGATTTACATGCGCAAACCTCTGGCTTTGGACTATAGCCTCTACTTCCAAGGTAATCAAACAGCTCCCACCCCCACTCTTGATTTTGAACTTCTAGAAGAAAAAGGAAGGAGGGAGAGAGCGACAGAGAAGACGTGAGGGGAAGAAAAGAGAAGTGCTATGCAGTTTGATATTTTACCCCAAAGTTCTGGAAAGGGGATTTCTCTCTCCTCCTACAGAGAAGTAGAAAGGTTCCCCCCTCCCCTTTTGTCCATGTGGCTGATAAACACTGACATGTGTAACTGGATGGCTGAGGAACAAAGTCAAATCACACCTCAAAAAGCTTCCCAGACAACCAAGCCGTTCCAAAGTAACTTTGACTTTTGGGGGAAATCACTATCAAAACAAAAATCGTTTGGAATACTAAAAATCAGGAGATGAATCTGAGATGTGAGGGTCTCCACTCTGGCCATACTCTCAACTCTCAAAGAGAGGCACTCAAACTCCTCAAGGCTGATCAGAGGTGGCCTGTGTTTGGACGTTAAGAAGATTTGGCCCCAGGGGACCCCAAGAAAGACAGACTCTTACATGCAGGAAGGCGAGGCCGTTGCCCCAGTAAACGTGGAGTGGTTGGGAAGCCCTCCTTGTCCTTCATTCCCTTGCGCTAGAGATTCATGATTGTAAGTTCTTTTGTCCCCAGCTTGAAAAATATATGTACATGTTCCCCCCCCCCCTTAAAAAAAGACAGTTTTTTGAGGTGCCCACCACAGAGTCCGGCCCTAAGGTCATTATCAGCAACATCTAATGATAACAGAAGACGTTCAGTACAGCCCGGCGAGTGAATGTCCAGCTCCCCTCTCCCCTTTGAGGATCGGGATCTTTTGACCCTGGTCAGCCCTGGGTCTGATGGATCCTTGATCCAACAGAACCTGCCACCCACGCACCACTGGCTCCACCTCCAGAAAGGTCTGGGTTTGAGTCCACATCTGTCATATCTGCTCTGGGAGAATATGGGCAATCGTCAGCCTGTGAGGTTTAGCCCCTCTGTCTACCAACCACATCAAGGGATGGCAGTGAGAGCAGAATCATGTGCCCAAAGGCCTGACCTGTGCCAAAATACATCCTAACTGGTCCAGGTAAAGAGTTAAACCTCACGCCAACACATGGCAGAACCACACAACTTCGTTTCTCCAGTTTCTGCAGATGGGAGTCTGTCTCCCCCGTCCCAGACAGGTTGGGGGTTATGCAGCCTTAAATGCAGTTCATCATTTCTGGTAAATCAGGAGTCAAATTCTTAAAATTACTTGCTCAGGTCGCCTGGAGCCATCTCTAAAGAAGCGTGTGTGACTGCTTCAGCATCAGCGACTGCATCTCACTAGAATCTGCCCGTCCCATCTTTTGAAAGGACACGTGTCCGTTTTCCCTCCCCTGACTCTACGAGAATCCTAAAAGCCGCTGGGAGAAGTCTGTGATGATTTCTTGCCTAACTGTGTAGCCACGACAAAATGGCTTCTTCTTCACTTTTTAGAGCCAGTGAAGTAGGAAGTGGAGATTAACTTCAACCCTTTTAATAGTTAAAACCTTGCCAAATCGACAGTGGTTTGGTGGACGGCGATCTGTCTTCCTTTTCCCTCACCTTGCTTCAGATAAATTTGAGATGTCAGTTTTGAGGGATTCTCAAGCACACCTGATTCGAGATAAATAGAGGCCGTATTCTACATCTGTCACAGAGTTAAAGGGGCAGGTGTAACTCTCCAGATGAAGTCCCAGCCTGTCAACCCACAATCCCTCCAAGCCCCGAGCTGCTGACGTTTCCAGATGCCGAAGACATTCACACATCTGCACGGCACCGCTAACTACCTTTGGGATATTTTTTTTCAGCGCGATTGCTGCCTTTTCAAAGAGAGCCATAAACACATGCTGAATATTTATATAAAGCATCTTCTTAAATATAATATGGAGTCTCCAGAGCTAAGCCAGGAAAATAACCATTTTCCTACCTGTCAAGAACAAAATGAAGGTTCTGGCTGAAAGAGACTTTACCATTATCCCTGTTAACTTTCTAATTTCAGGGGGAAAAAAATCCCCAGGGTCTACTCAAAACATGACTAAGGTAAAAAAGCATTTCCTTACGGAAAAAAAAAAAAAAAAGGAAAAAAGTAGTTTTATACGAATATATCTTGGACAGTTATTTTTAAACAGTTCCTATAATTTTACAAGTGATGGACTGACCAGCAAATCATATTTTGGAACGAAAGGGCATCAGCCATACAGTTAACACATTCTTTAGAATAGCGACCAAGCCTCTAGGGAACTCTAAAAGCAAGTTATGATTACTTACATGTTACAGAAGTAGAAAGTTTTTAAAAGGAACAAGAAAGGGGTGATGTTCTGTGTTAAACCCGATACTCTGCTAAGCATACAGTATTCCAAAGAGCTGAAGAATGCCCGTCCGTGGTCTCCACCCAAGAGCTGCTGACTGCCGAGGACAAGAATTCAATTACCACCCTCCCCCTCTTCTTTTTTGGTAAAAAAGAGCGTATCTGACAAGGAGGGAAATCAGATCTGATTCACTCCTCACCAAAACTGTCTGAAACAAAGCTGACTTCACGGTGACCATTTCAACCTGCTCCCGCTGTGGCTGAATTTTCCATTGCATTTTTAAAATGCTAAATAGTTTCGGTTCTGATATCAGTAGAAAAAGGCAAGTGCCTTCATCAACCTAGTAGTATAAATCGTTCGGCATACAGTGAGAGAAGAAGAGAATAGGAGTCTTCCCTTTGATGTTGCAAATGGAGGTCTGCAGGTGACATAAATGAATTTAAATGGCCCTCAACACTGGACCAAAAAAATCTCCTTGAGAATTTGTTCTGTTTGGAGGGCAAGTATCATTTAACCCCTTGCCCGGCTCTTACAATTAACGTGCCATTGTCCAATTTACCGTACACGCTTGCATTCTGGCATTAAAAAAAATCAGTATGCACATTTTGAACAAGTCATGATAATCACCGTAAAACTGATGCTTTCAGAGAGGCTATTCCTCAATACGCCGAAGATAAGTCCGAAGATGAGCGACAACCAGACCGAATCAAGCTGTGGGTTTCTGTTTGGATACAAAGGGGCCACTCTACACACAGGCCACTTAACAGCTGTGTGCATTGTGCCTGATGGGAAGTTTTCTTTGTGAATTTTCCACTCAAATAAAAGAACCGCCCCCAGAAACATACTTATGAGAGCCCGGGACAGGAGCCATTGAACTCCGTACAAGACATTCGGCCTACCGTTGGAGGACCCCACAAGTGCTAACCCCAAAAGAGGGGTACTTGTCTAGAATCCTTAAAGAACTCACAAGGAGAGCATATCCCGCAATGCGACTCACACACAGAAAACGCTCAGGGAAGCGAATTTTGGCAGTCTCGGGGGCAGGTAGCACGTCCATGGCCGGCCACCTGCTGTCTCCCCCAGATGTGACCCTAATATCTCCCTTTGGGTTCAACAAGCCTGCTACTTGGAGAAGGGAGTCTTACTGTGACCATATCACATACAGCCGTATGCTGCACAGCACACAGTAAGAGACTGTGTTTCGGAAATGTGACATGGTATCACAGAGCAAATAATCATTGACGTCAGTGGCTTCTACGGTGCAAATGAGCTTTGTGTATTATCTAATTTGGCACAGGGCGTTTTTATGCAATTATTGTATTCTACAGTGTTTTTGTTGTTGCTAGCGAAACCCCAGGGTATGTGTATATGGGGTGTGTGTGGGTGTGTGGGTGTTAATTTGTGCTCTTTATTGATTGCAAATTTATGTATTGTAAATAATACCTTTGATGTAATGGCATCCAGACTTTCCTACCATTTCTTTATATTTCATAAGAACTTATATGAGATACAAACCCCACCCAATAATCTGAGGACTACAAGAACTTGAAACATCCTGACTTTCACCTTGCTTGGGGGGTGTGTGTGTGTGTGTGTGTGTGTGTGTGTGTGTTCTAGCCTAACGGGTAGGGAGAAAAATAGCATAGGTAAAGCTAACTTTTAAAAAATTCAAGATATTATCTACATATAGATAGATATCTCTCCATATCCGAGGCAGTAGAGCCTCCCGATCTGGGGATGTCAGTAGGTCCTGGGTGGGCCAGAGACCCTGCGTGTCTAATAGGCTCCCAGGTCGCTGGTCCAAGCGCGCAAGGAGGAGAAAGAAGCCAGGACTGGTCTGGGGGAGGGGGTGCTGCCCGAGGGGAGGGCGAGGCGGAAGCGGGCTCCCTCCAGGTACTTACCCTGCATCTGACTCTGAGGCTGAGGGTTAAAGGCAGTGGAGTGGTTCAAGGAGGCCCGAGGGTTGGGTGTGGGGGCTGGGTGGTGTGGGCTGACCCTCATGGCTGTTCGCCGCAGCTGCTCCAGCTCACTGAGCCGCTCGGAAAAAGACAAGCTCCCCGGCTTGGTCTGATCGTCTAGTTTCTGACGGTGTCCTATTGTGGGGAGGGGGTGGGGAGGGGAGAGGGAGGCAAGGAAGGAGGGAGGGAAAAGATCAGAAAATGTATTGTGGATCTCCTATCATCTGGGGCTTTCTTGCCTTTCCCCTCCCTCTCCCCTCGCCCCCAACGTGGCTTGGCTGGCTGGCTGCACGCTTGGCTGGGGCTCCCAGTGGAGATTCGAGGGTCCCCTGTCATCACAGGCCGCTGGGTGCCCGCCCAGCCTGCGCGCCGTCTCCCTGACCCTGTGCGCCCACCTCCACTGGGCAGAACGCGGTGGGCGCGCACCCGGATTGGTGACCGTGTCAGGTCGAGAACCAGCCAAGGAGCCTTCATCGTTGGCGCTCGGCCACACACCACGGGTGAACTATGGCAGCCAGGAAAGGTGCCTTCCCTGTGGCATCAGAACAGCCGCGCCCTACTACAAACCCAACCGCTGGCAGGCTTTAGAGGCAGCAGAGTGGGCCCCGCAGCTGAGCGCACGCCCCTTCCAACAGGAAACGAGGTGTGGCTGCAAACCCACAGTCCTTGGGGAGGTCCGATTTCCCGCATGCGCAGCCCCTCGGCCCCTCTCCTCTGCCTCTCCTCGCAAGCTTTCCACGCACGGCATTCTTGAGCGTTCCTTCCTGAAGCTGACTTCCCCAGGTGCACCCTCTAAGAGGGGGTTGATCGAAGGTGTAGCCTGGACCTCATCCGGTCCAGTATTCCCCGCAGGCTGGGCTCACTGGAGCCCAGAGGGTGTGCCAGCAAGCGGCTTGCGTGAGCTGGCCCAAGGGCTCAGAAGTTCAGGGGCGGGGGGGGCCTCCGTGTCTGTAGCGATGGCGAGTGCCCTTGCCCTGTTCCCCATCAGAATCACTGTCACCATGATGCCGTGAGCAGAGGCCATTCACGTGGGACAGGCCAGGCGGGTTGGACCTTCTGTTTCCTTCCTTAATCCCTCCCACAAAATCTCTCTACGCAGGAGACCCGGGCCTGGGAAGCAGAACTGAGGCTCAGAGCGTGCTGATCCAGCCACCGTGGGGACAGGCGGTTCATCTCCCTTCCCCTGGTCCTTCCTCACCCCTGTGGTTCCAATAAAGAGTCACTGACCAATTTCTCACCCCCCCCCCCATTGTCAGGTGGCCTCCAAACCACACTGGATGAGCAGCCTGCTTGTGGCCATAAACTGGGGCTCTTTCGCATGCCGGGACCCAGCTCTCCCAGCCCTCCGTTAGAAAGAGGATTCCTGGAGTCTAGCTCTCTGGCCTGGGGGTGGGGGTGGGGTGGGAGAAGCGCATTTTAGCCCAGCTCCCAATCGCTACAATTACAAAATTAAATTTTATAACTTGTATTATGGCTCCAAGTCTCCGTGGCTTGCTGTTTCTTCCCGCTGCCAGGCCCCTTGGCACAGGGGAGGCGGTCTCAAATTCCAGACCAGAAAAAAGGACCCACTCTACGGCAGTGATTTTTATCACGAACAAGACCTGTTTGGCTCCAAAAGGAGGAAAACGACTTAAGCATAATATTTGTGTAGTTCAAATGCAACGCTCCCTCTTTTCATGTGTCACCAAGGCAAATCTGGACTCTGATTCAGCCCCGCAGCCCGTAACACTCGACCTGAGCACAAACAGCCTGAGTCACACAGGGCCAGCACACATGTGAGAGGCCTCTTACCGGCTGAGTATTTTAAGCACCGGCTTTGTGGGCGAAAGGCCATAGGGCCAGGTCCCGGAACAACTCCTGTCATCCCTTTCTCGCAGAAGTATGAAAATGTCTTTTTCTAGAACATTCTATTTCAGTGGATCATGGTGTAATTCAGTGTCTCTGGATGGCTCTTGCCCTGACTCCTCCCTCCTTTTTTTTTTTTTAAATTTAAAAATGTTTATTTATTTTTGAGAGAGAGAGGCAGAGACAGAGCGCAAGTGGGGAGCGGCGGAGAAAGAGAGGGAGACACAGAGTCTGAAGCAGGCTCCAGGCTCCCAGCTGTCAGGATAGAGCCCAACGTGGGGCTCAAACCCACAAGCCGTGAGATCGTGATGAGCTGAAGTCCGACGCTTAACCAACTGAGCCACCCAGGCACCCTTACTCCTCCCTCCTTTAACTTTGAGACAGATTCTTAGCTTTCTGCTGATCAGGCTGAGAAATCTGGTTTTCCTGCAAGCAAAACAATCCTACCCCAAAAGCCATCCAAAGCAGAGTCATTCAGCTTTTTAAATGCCCATCACGACCCAGTGGCTGGTATTAGGAGTCAGGGAGAGGAGAGGGCAGGGCAAATGATTCTGGAGAGTTCTACTGCCTCAGAAAGAATGCCGGCTGGCAAAATAATGGTGGCAGAGGCTTCCAGCAGGTTTTGTACCCATTTCAAAACTTCACATTCCTTGGGCACCCAGTGGCATTTTTGAACAACTCAGTGTCAAGGACAGGGGTGATCATTCTCAGCACACGGCATTTGGCAATTTGGAGTCTATTCTGCCTTTGGAGAAAGGCTGTCCGTTGTGTCTGTCTCAGCCACCAAGCTTGGGGACCACATGCCACCAAAAAACAGAGCAGGAATAAGTCATTTTAGGTAAGCCACAACTGTGGCCAGGCACGACATGAGATTATTTTTTATTAGTCCCCTCTCATTGCCCTACATTTTAAAAAATAAAAGTTTTAACATGTGAGCAATTTCTGTACCAGCGGACACCTGCCAAAAGCCTAGTCATTTACAGAGATTAACTGATGACTGTCTGCTCTAGCAGGAATGTTCGGGCATAACTCTTGGAGAAAACAATTCTTCACTCTGAGCTATTTTCTAAGCCCTGAGAGTCGGGAGGCTGAGTTTAATGCTGGAGGAGCGGGGGAAACATTCACTCCACAGCCTCCCCGCATGTGACCTTGGCCTTAAGTTAAGAGCCTTATTGCCTTTGCAGGTTATCTTGAGCCCCTTCCTCACCAGGGTGCTAGAGGGTTCTAAAACCAGGGCCCCGGGGAAATAAAAAGCATTATCATCTGAAAGGTGTGGTTCAGATGCATTCATAAGCTAGATCAAAAGAACACCTAATTCTTCTTTTCTGAAGCCATCAGATTTCCCGGGCCAAAGAGCAATATTTTGTATGAAATACAGAAGCTTCCGATATAAACGTTCAAGCTGGGGAAAATGAATGCTTTATGTCTCCGGTTTCCTGTTATCTGTGTGCAATTAAAATGTCAATTTGCCCCCCTGAATTTTAAATACAGGAGTATGGGAAATGTCCACTATCAAACTCACTTTTCTTTCTTGCTGAGTACTGGGCTTCAGAAGACAGCAGGGAATTCAACTCTGCATCAAATCTAGTAGAATTACCATGAGCCCGAAGCACGCGTGTTTGGCAGCCTGACTTTTTGAGGACACTGGAGGTCAGCTGAAAATGTTAACGTGGTGGCCCTTAAAATAGTGGCTACCTCAAGATTTCATATCAGGACATCTCAGTGACTCTTGAATAGAGTTGAAAAAGACACTAAATTATATTTCTCTAGAACCATTCCCACATTCTGGAAAAAGTATTTGATTAGGATTTTATTAGATATGCAGTGTCATAAAGAGCCAAAAGAAAAAAAAAAGAATAAAAATAAATTAATCCCATCTGTGAAATTTTACTTCTTCATTCCAAAGACGTACGTCCTGGAGTTTTCTGGGCTGGCTGTCCACAAGGCATCCCTAAATGTTATGATATCTGTGATGGATAATGAGACCAGCTTTCAATTTTCTGCTATAAAAAGTAGACTGGGTAGCTACGCATATCTCTTGCATAACTGAGCTATATTTTTTAAGAAACCGTGGTCGAACTGTGAAATACGATGTTCTCTTTTTTTTTTTTTTTTTTTTTAAAGTAGGTCTCCACACCCAGCCTGGAGGCCAACGTGGGGCTTGAACTCACCACCCTTGAGATCAAGACCTGAGCTGAGGTCAAGAGTTGGGAGCTTAAAACCAACTGAGCCACCCAGGCGCCTGAACTGTATTCCCCTCTATCAACGCAAACAAGTAAGGCTAAATTGTCACCTTTTCCTGGAAAATTCTGGCTAGAGAGAATAATTTTATGGCACTTTGCTAGCCCATGTTTCTGGTATGGGTTTACTACTTTTCTTGATAGATTCTCAGCAAAAAAAGTAGGAAGGTATAGACGCAAAGCATTGTCATGAGGAGCAGTTGAACGTATCCAGAATGATAATACCAAAAAGATATCTATCTGTGTGTGTGTGTGTGTGTGTACACCAGCATTTGTATCTATCTATATATGACCTTGTGATTCTTCTGAAAGCATACGTGTATTTCAAAAGATGCTTACTGGTCAATCCGATACTAACACCATGGGCCTGGATATAAAAACATGGGTATCTCTCCCTTAATTTGCTTCTGCTTTATGACTATGGAAAAGAAATTGGTGTGTGTGGGGAACAGCTCATTTTTCCTGGTATAACATCCTAAACTCTAGATTCCAGGGTTATCAAATCCTGAGGACAGGAAAGTAACCATACTGAATGTGAACATGATTCTTCCTTAAAGCACCTTGCAGGTGATGAAATAAATCTTTCTAATAGCAAACCTATCTGTCTGCTGGCCAATTTAATGTTGGACAGTATTGTCCCATTGTGTGTGTGTGTGTGTGTGTGTGTGTATCACAATATAAAATATAATATAGGATATATATGTTAGCATATTATATATTAGAATACATATTATATATTCATGTTTATATATTGTCCAATGTTACATAAACTTTGGTAGCCTAACTATTCCCCCTAATTTCTTCCCATATTATTAAATTAGGAGATCCCTGCAAAGTACCTCAGAACTGCAGAAGTGCCAGAGGAATCAGCCTTATTTTCTTAACCCACATGTAAGAAGTTCAGAGAGGTTATGTCATTTATTTAATCTCACACAGCCAATCAGAGAAAGAGGGTGGGTCTGAAAAACACACCCACTCCCTCAAACCCCCACCCACCCACCCACCCACTGCCCTGCAGTCTTGCTCCTATAAATACCAATTTCTGTATGC